AAAACTTGTTTTTTTTTAAATGGCTGCCGCCGGAAATTTATGTAATTTAAAACTTGTTCTTTATGTTTATTTTTAATTCCTCAACAAAAAATAGCTGCTATAGCAGCGATTTCACTTTTAATTTTTATTTATTTATAAAAACGCTGCTAAAGCAGCGATTTTAAAGAAATAATGATTTTTTTTTTTGAAAAAATCGCTGCCAAATTTAGCGATTTTTATTTCTTTTTACGGAACGACGTCAATTTTTATCAGAAGAAAATCGATCCGTCAGTAGGGATTTTGCCCTTTTGGTTAATTTTTTTTTTATGTGCCCTTTTTGTTTTTTGAAGGAAAAAAATGACCCTTTTAGCTTCGGACTCCCTTTTTATTGATATTTTAATTCATTAGAGTAATAAGGTAACCATATTGTCAAACTACAAAGGATATAATGTTTTTAAAGAATTTTAAAAAATGTTAATAATAAAAAAGGAATTAAAAAAATGTTAATAATAAAAAAAGAATGATGTGACATGGCATCCTATTAGGAGAGAGATAATATTTTTTTGTGTCAAGTATATTTTGAGGAAAAGAGGTAAAGTTGGATAATATTGTGGTCCTAAAACAAACATAAGTGATATTCTTAGGTAATTTCCCAAACATGGGTGGCTATCCAGGGAAATTTCTCTCACTTTTAACTTACTACAAACATAAAGGATCATTTTTTGCACTCTCTCAATTTTACACATAGTATAACTTTTGTAACATAAGAAAAAGTAAACATCAGGCGACTGACCTTTCGTTTGTCAATGGAGTTCTTAGATGAAGACGCCAGACCCAGATTTCTCTTCCAATCAAAGCCACTACAGCAATCCAATTCCGATCCGGAAACCCAAACCCGGTCTCTATACCGACCCGGAATCATCATCTCCATCTCTCTTTCTGTTCTTTTCTTCGCTCTTTCGATCCTCTATTTCTCTTTTGAACCCTTCGGATCCATCTTCTTATGGATCTCTCTTTCCCTCCTTGTTGGACCGTTTGCTCCTTCTTCCGTCACAGGTGGTGACATCCGGGTCGGACTCGGAGAACCCATTCAAGACCCGCCTAAAGATGATCTTTCTGATACCGAACCCGATACGAAAAAATCAAACAGAAGATCTAACAGACCCACCAAGAAAAACGTTGACTTTGAGCCTGTGTTAGCTACCCATTATGATCTAAAGCCGGAGAAAACTAATGGGTCGGTGGCAAATTCGAAGAATAGTAATGGGTCGGTTGCGAATCTGGAGAAAAAAGTGGGGGATGGGGTGTGGAATGAAGGGGATGAAGAGTTGTTGAGGAAGATGATGGGGAAGCATCCGGTGGGGAAACCGGGGCGGTGGGAGGCGATAGCAGATGGATTTAACGGGAGATACAGAGTGGAAAGTGTGATTAAGAAATCTAAAGAATTGGGTGAGAAGAAAATGAGTGATGGGGATTCCTATCAGAGGTTTTTGAAGGACAGGAAAACAGTTGATAAGAGATCTGAGGGTGGAAATGAGGCTGATTTCGAGAATGTGGAGGCGAAAAATGCGGTAGAGAGTGGATGGAGTAGTGGGGAGGATTTAGCTTTGCTTAATGCATTGAAGACATTTCCAAAGGAGGTGGCAATGAGGTGGGAGAAAATAGCAGCTGCTGTGCCTGGGAAGAATAAAGCAGCTTGTATGAAAAGAATGGCTGAGTTGAAGAAGGATTTTAGAAGCTCTAAGTCTGCTAATGCTGAAGCTTAGGCATAAAGATCAGTTATTGATTCAAATCTCATAGGAAAATTTTCAGCTATGTTGAGGAGGTAACATATTTTACTATATACAATACTTATTTATTTGTTCGAAATCACTACTTCATTAATTGACATTGTGATTTGTTGAGGAAGAAATTGTAAGGCGACCAGTTATTCAGTTAAAAACTTTTGAAGTTATGTTCTATGAAATCTGTAACTTGACAATGATTTATATGAATAAATGCATTTCCACTTTGTGGAGATTGTGCTCACAGTGCGTATGATGTATGCTAAGCATGGAATTGTCCTTCCGAATTTTGAGTTGCAGTTTAATGTCAAATCTTTGATCTTGACACTTTGTGATGGTTGGAATCAAAATGCTTTGATGATTCAAATTGTTAAATGTTACCATTTCACTCTTTTAATTTTTTTTTTCCTTGCTACTTGCTAGAATTAAGTCCGCTGTGCAATCATTATGCGGTATAGGATAGTAAGCGACTCAGCTTGATGCAGAAAATAAGTGTAATTTTAACTTTCTTGATTAGCTCTAGCAGCAGGATTTTGAGGCAAAAGGAAGATTGGAGCTATTTAGTGGATATATTAACTTGGCTATTGATTTACCGGCCACAAGATTAACCTGATAATAAGAATGCGCAATGTCACTCCTTATCAAATGAATATATAGACATTTTATCAAAAGTTAGTAAAAATGATAGTCTGTATGGTAAATTTTTTTATTTATTTTTGGTAATGCTCTGTATGAAAAACTCAAGCGTCCATGGGAGATAAAATTGCTTGTGCTACCTGATTAGGCTAGCTATAGATGATCTTGTTGAACTTTGTAACCAAGGGGCTGACTGAGTAATTGAGGTTTTGTGAGTAACGACCTGAAGACCTTAGGTTTGAGTCATTTGACATCCCAACTATGACACTCAGTGGAGCCGTCTATGCCACCATAGTTAGGGAGGGTTGACCTGAATATGCTTGTGGGTTGCTGCAGGCTGTCATAGATTAGTTGTGGTGTGTTCAAGCTGGCATGGTCTCCGACATTGAAAGAAACCGTCATGTTGAACCTTTGCTCAAAAGTCCTAGCATTCCTCTTATTTTAGATGTAGACATTACATCCCTTAATAAAGCACAATTAGTAGTGTTTTCTGGTAAAATCCGTTCTCAATTTCCTTTCTTCCTCCTCTGACCCCCGAACCAGGGTCACCGATCTTCCATTGGCTATACGTGCGTTGCACCAACAATCTAGCCTCTCTCTTTTTGATCTGCATTCCTTCTCTAACTCTTTTCTCTGCTCAATAGAATTTAGGAACATGTAGAATGAAACAGCTATTCCTCCTTTAAATATAGAGAAGCTTTTAGCCATTCTCTGTTTTAAAGCGATTAATCTCTATTTCCAGTATAAATGTTTTCGCATACATTGACTGGGTAATGATTCAGTTCATGACTCTAAAGGTTTGAAAAGGACTTCAAAAATCTCATGTATCAAAAAAAGTATTTTAAGAATATCCATAAAGTTGATGAAAAATGATGCTCCATAAAAACACAGTGACAACTGCTGCTTTGACTACCCTTTTATCTGGAGATCATCCTGTTGAACCCTAACATCCCTATAATTTTAGATTTAGCCATTGCATCCCTTAACTTGATCGTAATTAGCTGTCAATATGAACCAAGGGTATGCTTTCTGTTAGCTGTTTGCAATGAACTGAAAGAGAATCAACAATGGAAGTGAGTGATCTTGAGGAATGAAAATTGATTCTCCATAAAAACTGAGCGACAAGAAGTCAGCAGATAAAGTTGCTTTGAACTATCTTTTAGGTTGGTTTGAGATCATCCTGTTCCTGTCTACCACGCGTATAACTTTAGATGTATAAGCAAGAGCATGTTTTCCCTTACCTGTTCTCAATGTCCTTCCTCCCTCTTTTGACCCACTACGAGTAGCTCCACTTCTTCCATGGGCTATTGTACTTCGCCCCCAACCAACAACCTAGCTCCCTGTTGCATCTGCAGTTCTTCCTGGTTACTACAACTACCAGGAATACAATAACATACCCAACGTAGTCCCATAAGTGGAGTTTAGGGAGGATAAGATGCACGTAGACCTTACCCCTACCTTGTGGGGGGGGGGGTAGAGAGGTTGTTTCCAATAGACTAAAGGCAATATCGTTTCTATTTTGTTGCTCATAAGTGGAGCATTTGATTAGTTGTTTGGACTGAATCTCGTCGTTTGCTGATCTTGAGGGAGGGGAAGGAGAAAATGTGGATATTTATTTATTTTATATCCTAGTGAAGAAAGAAGGTTTATTTAAAGGGGATGTAGCATCATCTAAACCTTATGGATAGGAGGTGACAATGGTTTTTAAAAAGTCGATCGGATCGAATCGTATCGTATCAAATCAATTTTTAGATTTATAAAAATAGAACAACTCAGTATAGCAACAAAAAACATTTTCAATTCATCGACATTAGTTATAGGCTACTAGACTTTGAGGTGAGATTTTTACAATATTTGCTTTATATATTACTCCTATTTTTGCCAACTATATTTAGTATAACATGTCCTTGATTGAATAATGATCTTGTATAGCCACATTACTAAGGATGCTTACGTACATAAACTTAATTGTTCGACGAAATCAATTTAAATCTATTACATATTTTCATATACTCTTCATAATAAGAGTGATGCGTCATGTGATTATGATAAAAATAACGAGTAATTGCTATTTTATGATATTGTAAAGCGAAAATATTTCATTCTATGTAACATAACTTTTGAGTATTCAATTCTATCAAATTTTATCAATTGCAATTCGCGTAAGATGATGTTTCAAAAATTGAAAATTATCTCAAGTGTACCAAAATTTTAAAAAGTCAAGACAACTAAGACGATTTCAAGAAGTCTAATTTTAATTATGCATTTTAAGATAATAAAAAATTAACACTTTTAAAGTGTAAGTGATCAATCAAATCATTAACTTTCCTATCATGTAGTGCGCTAACCGAAAGCTTAACTCACATATATATTATACTAGGGTAGGGAGGCCCGTGGCAAGCACGGGCCCAATAGTCAAAATATTATGGTTTTGAAATTATTTTTATATTAACGAATGAAGGATGAAGGTGTTTGTACAAGATGGATAATATAATATATTATATTAATATGTACAATAGACATTAGCATGGTGTTGATTTTAACGATTTGCACATACTAAGTAATGTAATATAAGCAAAATAATATAGTACATGTTGCAGTTTTGGTAAATAAGATTAGCATGTCATTGTTTATGACATATTTAGAGGATGCTGCAGTGTGCTTCTCCATAGTTAATGTTCCTCGTGCAAAAAACCAGAGCATAGGGAGAGTCATTGATTGTAGTGTCCCTATTATAAGCAAAAGTGACAAAATGGGGTGACAGAGTTCCTGTAATTGTACAGTTTAAAGTCTGTCAGAAATTGCAAACATGGCAACACATAGCAAAGGAATTATAACATATGGATCAAATAGAAAGCAAATCATGGACAGATGATAAAAGTGGGAGATTCCCTGTTGAATGTCTCTGTGATTGACGTAATCGTGTATGCATAGTGTATCACATCACAACAAAGTGCAATAAGACAAATGTACAAGACTGTATGCAACCGAAGTTATGCAGAAAAACATGTGGACAGGCTTCTATTGCAGTGCCAAATGACAAAGAATAACCAAACAGCAAACGAACGCTACAGTTTTGTGGTATTTGTGAAGTAACAAAGGTGGTCAATTGTTATAACTAAAATAAGCTAATTCAACAGTTAACATGAGATGAGGAGTTAAAAATAAATTGTTAACCAATTGATTTGACCGTAGGTATGAACACAGATAGAGAGTTTTTAGCCCTGAATAAATGTGAGAGTTTCGAATGCGATGTGAGACACAAAAGGGGGAAAAAAGTGAAATTTGAAAGTAGATCAGAGCAAATACAAAAGCAGCAGTATGACATTTACAATGTTTCACATGAACTATATGGTTATGTGTATAACAGAAATTAAACTACAGCTAAAAGTAGAGACTTTTAGCAGTAATTTTTAAAATACTTGTGAATATATGCAAGTGATAATCATTGTGACCTATAGGTTGGCGTGAAAGTGAGAAGTAGACTCACCTTTTACACCTTTTTCGTTGGTGTGGGTGGTTCAAATTTTGGCATTGGATTTGAAGAACCAGCTGCACTAGTTGTTGCCATGACTTCTACCTCATTTATTTCCAAAGGTTTAATCTTTTTAGAAGTCCTATCAGCAGTGCTCTGTGGTGTATGTGTTTTTTCGATGTAGGAGAGAACGGACAAGGTTGCATGTGCGGTATTTGAGCTGCCCCAAGATGACTTCCTTAGCTGAATTTCGAAGACTTTGTTTGAGAGCATGTCATGGACATGATTAAGAGACAATGATTGTCGCTGTAAATGTAACAAGTTGGAACAAATAGTTTAGAACAAAGCATATGTGCTAAAGTGTGTGTGCTGAGGATATATGGTATTATGACAATAGGTCTGTACAAGTAGGCAGCGGGAATGAGAGCTAACCTTAGTGCAAGTTATGTCAAATATGTCCTCTGCTGCCATGCACAGTATTTTTTCTCCTAATTCAGCAGAGATAGATGCTGTGGTGTAGCAGTGCCGTCAATAAGATCAATTTGAAAGCTGCAGCTGAAATGATGGGAAGCTTGAAATATGTTTATAATATATGCTATATTTTGTAGCAAGAGTAGTTTAGAAGTCAAAAGTATAGTACCGCGGCACTAATGTTGTTTTCCGATTGCATTTTGGACAGTCAAAATCTTTTCTATCCTTTGTGCGTTTTTTTTGTTTGCAGCCTGAGCATTCGAGCACACAAAAGTCTTGGAATTCATCTAATATGGCCATTTCTGCCTCAACATAGAGCACTCCCATCTGTGGGAAGCTTTTATTATTTACGCAAGTTTACAAAATGACAGAAGGAAAAAGAATAGCGTCAAATGAGGAACTTCAACTATGACGTACAGAAGGTGCGGATGAGATATCTGCAATAGAGATAACTTGTTGGCCAGCAGGAGTGACTACGGTGGGATTGACAGATGAGCTTGTTGAAGTTTTCTCTGATGAACAACTTAACAACATTGTTTTGTTTTCATTTGCCCTATTTTTAGAACAGCTAATATGTTTAGTAGGTTCTATATAGGGAAAATAAAGCTGTAGAATAAATAGGAAAATGTCAGTACCAGCTGATGAGTGCGAGTGCCTGTGGGTAATTTGGATTGACACGTACTGTGGAGTTGTACCTGGTCTGCAGTGACAAGCCTGTATAATACATAGGTTATATAATGTTTTGTTATTATGTAAAATTATGTTGGTAAGAATTTTAGTGCATATGTACCTTGATAAGTAGAGATTCATATACTCCTTCCGAGGATTACAGGCAGATGTGCCTCTGTTGCCATTTTGGAGGCAACTTCATGTCCTTCTATTTCTCCGAAATCCTCCCATAGAGTGAAGAGAAACTGTTTTTTCCTGAGGGTGTGACAACAGAAGGAGGGAAGAGTAAGTACAATGATAACGCTTAGATGATAATTGATGATGGCAGCAAACAGATGGAAAAAGTGGTTACTGAGTCCAAAAAATTGTGGAGTCTGAGAAAATAGAATGTAAGATGTTATACTTACTGATTGTCACAAAGGGTAATTTCTCGACACCTATGATGACTGCGACCTGCGTTTTTTGGGGACCACAGCGAAGAACGATTGCCAGTATATCTGCGTATGTAATACATAATGAAATCTGGTAAGTGTTCTGTAGCAGTGAAGATGTATATTTCAGTGCCATAATAGCAGTTAGGATGGATATACCAATTTCAGCAGCAGAATCAACCAGCAGACGAGGAATGCGGTCAAAGGCTGTGATATTCAGCTTGGTAGGCGGGGGAAGTGGACTTTCAACCTCATTAGAAGGTTTGATTTGTTCAATTACTGTTTCTTTGTCAAGAATCCAGTAAAATTGATGTAGTGGCTTGCCGTATGAAGTGGGTGGGACTTTTACTTTTGCAGTAGAGATGAGGTAGGTATTCATGAGTTTAATCCTAGCTGCATACTGCTCAATTTCTTCAGCATACATAACTGCCTTAATTTGGCACTCCTAAAAGTAGGAGTCATAGAAAGTTCAGATTAGGTAAGTTGAGAGCGAAAGAGCAATAGTGATAAGACAAAATATAATAATGGTTTTACCGTTTCATCTTCCAAAATTAGATTTTGGAATATACATTTCTTGTCAAGGCTTTCCCGTGGGCGGGCTATTTCCACAATTTGAACTTTGCAAATCCAGTCTCGTGTTCCTGGTTCTATTTGGTTGATGTTCAATCTTAGTACCATGTTTGCAGGAAATTGAGTTAACCAAATAGTACTATCTGCAGGATAACATGAGTATTCAGCCAAAGTAGTTGCTTTGTTCTGTTTTTATGAACAGGGCTGATTAGACAAAAGAGGAAAAAGGAATGAAATGAAAGCAGCAGTGTGGAGTAAAATGCATCTTGTAGATGCATGAATGAGGATCTGATGTAGTAACGGAGCACTAAGAAAATCTGGTAAAATAAGTTAGGAGAAATAGTGAACATAAAGTACAAAGTCATACAAGAGCCTATAGTTTGTAGCATAGTACTTAGTTTTGCTGCCCTGTTGATGTTGTAACCATTTATGTGCTATTACTTCTTTGTTAATCATGAGATGCAGCAGTACAATTTGAGAATGTGGAAGTAGGAGATTGACAATCTGATACAAACAAAGCAGTCACATGCAAAAAGATGAAACGAAGTATACTACTTGAGAGTTCCAGCTTTTACTATTTGGTGCTATGAGATATAAACAGCAGAAACATAAAAAAGTTTGTATGGGAAAAGCAGAACAAATGAAAAGAATAACAATAGTGTTCTCATAGTAGAAGTACAACCATGTGTAAATCTGTTAGGGCCCTTTAGTGGACTTCAATGGAGACATAAAATTAGTTATAAGTGATTATTAATGTATAAAGTAGAATTGGAGAACTATTTTTTCAGTGAAAATCTGTTACAGGGACAGAAAAATGTTGCAGAATATTAAAACATGAACAATTATCTCTGAAACTTGACCGAAACCACTATAGATTTGGGAAAAACAATATGAACAAACTTTGAAAAATGTTGGTTGGACATGGTATTGTATCACAAAAATGTTAACTATAGCAGACGGTTTGATAAAAAAAGAAAAACAAAAGAAGAGATACAGAAGGTACTGAACACTTAGGGGCCGTTTGGTTACTGGTTAGAGTTATGCAGGTATTAGTTATACAGGGTTTAGTTATGCAGGTATTAGTTATGCAGGGTTTAGTTATGCAGG